GGGGGGCTGTGGTGGAGTTTGCTGGCCGGGTGGTGGGGAGGGAGGCTGCCCGCTCGCCTGCAGACTGCGGGGCCGCGGTCCGGGCGGTGGGAGCGGCTCTTGGCTAGGCCGGTGTGTGCCGGTGGGCCTAGCCGTAAAAATGCCGTATTTCTGACCCTGGAATCACCGAAGCTTTATTAATCACCTCTCTATGAGTCTCAGCACTGGCTGTGGGCCGGGCCCCCGCACCCACCGTGCTTTGGTAAAGCCAGGAGGGTGTTCAGGGTGTCTCAGCCCATCCTTTGGCCCTTAAATTCAGAGGATTTTTTTTTTTCTTAAAAGCGTAAAGATGACGTGTTTGCCTCACTGAATCTTATTCCTGTTTTAACAGGCGTTACAGAGTGAAACAATATGTTACTACCACAGCTGACTTCCCGGCTGCTGAAGGCTTCACGAGTTGCAGGTAAACAGATGATATGTCACCTCGTTTTTTAGTTTGTTTTCTTTCTTTTCGTGGGTCATAAGGCTCCCAAAAACTTATTTTCCAGTGTGCAGTGCAGGAGTGGTGAGGCTGCTGCTGTTCCAGTGGCTGTGGCTTGTTATTGTGTGTTCTATTTATTCTGTCAGTGTTTTGTAGCTCCAGTTTGGCCTCTTCTAAGCTGCAAGGAGGCTCCTTCACAGCAGAAAGGCTCAATACAGGGAACAGTTCCTGGTCATTCCCAATGGCACTTGGCACAGTTTACACAGGAAATAGTGTGTGATGTAATTTGGGCAGATGCTGTTGTGGTAACATCATTGAATTCACATTAAAAAATCCTTCCTTTTCTTGACGGGAACACAATTTTTTGTAAGCAGCTTCCTTTTCTAGGTTGCTCTGGCCGAGGTTGTCTGGTGCTGGGCAGAACCTTTCTTAAGATACTGTTTAAAAACTCCATCTCTGAAGTGAAATTCCTCTCTGTTCCCCAAGGCCACCTCCTGCCACGGTCCGTGTCGTCCTTGCTCTACTCCCACTCCACACCTGCACCCTACAGCACACAGCCATCCAGCAAGAGTGGGGCCCAGCCTCAGCAGTGGTATGCTCTGGACCCTGACCTGGAGGAGATGCTGATCCCTAGAAAACTTTCCATCAGCCCCTTGGAAAGCTGGCTGACTGTTAGATACTCCCTTCCTAAGGTGGGAGTTCCTGCTCAGGAAGAAGGCGGCTCTGAAGCTCTGCAGCGGTACGACTGCCCCCCTCCTGCCGAGGGAGGCGATGTGGAGGAAGGGGAGGGAGCACCCAGCGGCAAGCTGCAGTGCAAGAACGTTTTGGAGATTCGCAGGAGGAAAATGAACCGGCACAAGTTCAAAAAGCTGCTGAAGAGGAGGAAGTTTGTGCGGAGGAGAATCAAGGAAGGGCGCAAGAAGAAGCGCCAGGTGAGCTCAGGGGGGTGGGGGGCAGGACTTGATATCGATGCACCCACTTCTCCAGCTGGTCTCTGTTCTGGTGCTGGGTGGTGTTTTGAGGTGGGATTGATTTGGGGAAAATGGCGGTGCTTGGAGAGCCTTAATGAATTGGGTATTTATTGGGAGAATGGCTTTTTCTGCTCTGTGTTTGGTCTGCACATCTCCTGAAGTTGTAATTTAGTGGATTTCTGGGTAGTAAGCACAGGTGGGTGGTAGTGACTGGGCACAGCTTTCCTTGCATGACAGTAACATAAATATATGCAGCTAATGGAGAAGAATTTCAGTGTCTGTGTGAAAGATTAATCCATGTGTCTGTGTCATTTTGGGGACACTGGTTTAGTCTTTCCTGTCTTGCCACCATCCTCAGGTGCTTCCTATCTTCTTTTTCTCTGTAGAAGCCTCTAACTTCCCTTACAGAAGGGCTGAGGGAAGACAAGGGCCTTCACTCAAACTGTAGATTTTCTCTCAGGAGCCTCTTAGGTTTGTCATTATGTCAATGAGTTAATTTTCTGTTAATTTTCACCTTGCCTAGATGCAAATTAGGGTTAATTGTAATTCCAGTTCTTAAGATGAGTAGTGTTGAACACTTGGTGATGAGGAAATCCTCCTGATTTTCTTACAAGTTCATTCTCAAGCTTCTCAGCTTTCTTCACACAGGACTTCTAGAACAAAGCTACAAGATCCTGGTGCTTTTGAATGTATCTTCTGCTGTCAGGCCAACTATTTTGACACTTAAAACAAGCTGCCTACTTATAAGCATTAGTTTCCTTTCTGTGCCTTATAACCACACTCTCTTTGGGACACAGGAGCAGTGGCTGAATACTTAAGTGTTGCTTCTGAGCTACATTTACCATTTCTTCTTTATTTTTATTTTTTTTCTGTTTTTTAGATAAAATTTGAGAAAGATTTGGAGCGCATCTGGAAAAGAGCTGGTTTGAAAAGTCCTCCTGCAGGATGGCAAACACCCAAGATATTTCTGAAAAGTTCAAAGCGATAAAAAACCACTTGTCATGAGTTCTAACTTGTAACTGTAATTAAAAAAAAGATAATCTTTAAGTATGCAGATTACTTTCAAACTTTTTCTGAGTGCAATGAGGAGGAAACCTTCCATCTTGGTGAGCAGTTTTCCAAGGGCAAACCTGACAGCTTTTCCTCCTGGAAAGAAGGGAGTGAGCCCTGCTGTCTGCAGGCCTGAGCTGCTGCTGCTCTAGCTGTGTCTGAGCCAAGGTGTCCTGGAATTCAGCTGGATTCCTGAAGGTGCTATTCCAGGTTAGACTGAACAATGTACTGTAAGAACAGCTGGTTTGGGGAGATGGGGTAAGGGAAAGAATTCTTCTTATTGTAAGGATAACTATGGAAGACACAAGCATTTTGAAAAATTATTTCCAAAATTGTGGTCTTTCATAGCTTTACTCTAGATGGGCTGGTGTTGACAAAGAGTTTGGGTGAAATAGGAGTTGGATCAGAATTCCATAAGAATAGATCTGAAGAAGCTTTCATTTAGACTTACCTGAAGCCTCTGTGTGCATGTGCCTTAGGCATTGCATGAGCATCCTTAAAAGGAATATTGAATTTTTTCTGTTCTGTTTTGTGCAAATAAAAAGTTGTTCTTTTTTTTTCTATGGTTGATCCCTGTTGTACAGAACATCAGGTGTTGGCATCAGTAAAAGTTCAGAGCTAATTAGTCATAAACTACAAAACCTGATCTGTGCCTGAGACAACCCTGTTGTAATCAAGCTGGTTTTACATAGTTGAAGAGAGTCATGAAAGCTGTGAAAAATAGAGATGTTTAGTTTAAACCCTGACAGGACTAGATCTCTAGAATCTGTTTTTCATTCTGCTTTTGGTTTTTCTGTTTGAGGAAGTTCCATTCTGCTCTGTGGGATTTAGTTCTTCCCTTTCCCTGTTCCAGCAGATGGATTGGAATGGACTGACCACTGGCAGGAAGGGAAAAGGAGTCAGCTCCTTTAGGCTCCCCATCCTGCAGCATCCAGGGAAGATGCATTCCCTTTGGTCTGCTGGGAGCAGAACACTGGGCTAAACTGAAAGAGAAGGAAAAAGAAGAATGTGTGGAGCTCACTGCTGCAGGGTGTGATGGAACCTGCAGGCAGCACAGGTGACTCCAAGCACCCCCTGAAAGTGTCTGAGGTCCTGTCTGTGGCCCTGTGCTGCTCTTGTCGCTAGATGGCAATAAACCCAAAGCCTTGGAAACCCCTTAACCACTCATGTGGAAGCTCAGTGGATCTTGATGTTGGTATTTCCAGGAAAGGGAACCCTCACATTTAAAAACTGATTTAAGTTTTCTGGAGAACTGTTGATGTTCTGAGAGATCTGATGAATTCCTGTAGAAACGTGTGGTTGGCTTGTTTTTCTAGTTCTTTTTTTCCAAACCATATGTTAAAAGTAAGCAACTGATAACAAAATTACAGTTATTCCATCCTTTTCATGCTCTAAATAGGCAGTTGTTTTTAACCTAAGACCAGTAGGACTGTTTCAATCAGCCTATTGTCAGGATTCCACCCAAGAGGAAGATGTCTTGGAAACTCACCAAGGAAGAGAAGATGGTTAATTCTGGCTTACATGTTTATTAAGTATGCAGAGTGCATCTAGGTGGTTCTAAAATATCAATACACATTCCCTGCACAGAGATACAGAGATGAAAGTGGGGCCTGAGAGGATAAGCACCTTTGAAGTCAGGTCCATGTCTTTTTCTTCCCAGTCCCATTTGTTTTAAGAGCCTTGATCCCAGCATTGTTGTTGTCAGTCAGCCCTGCAGCTTCTCCCACTGACTCTTGGTCCAAGCTTGCTGGTTTTTCTGTCTAGGGAAAAAATGGTCATAACTGCAGATTTCCAGGAGATTGCTGGCTGCTGAAGAGCTGGGATGCCTTTGGAATTACATGTAGCAAAAGGCTATAAAAGGCAGCAGTAGCATTTATCAGTGCTGTGCCTCTGATTCCAGTTGTGAGATTTATTCTTCCTGGATTTTTTTGGTCTTAATCCTATGACTTGCATCTTGGTTCTCTGTTGCAGTCTCTGAATCTACAAACTGCCCAAGGGTGTGTTACCCGTTTTTATCCACTAAGGCTTAGGTTGGTCTTACCTGTCCCTATGTTGACATAAACCTCTTTTGTTCTTGGGGAGCATCATGATGACAAACTTGTCTGTTGGGCTCATGTCTGCTGGGATGATGCAGGCACAGAGCTTTGTGTGCCATTTTCCTGGATCAGCCCCACCACCTTGCTCTGATTTGTTTTTACATTGGCATAGTAACTGGGAACATTCTTGAAATAGTGGGAATTGCAAATCATAATTATTCAGTCCTTTGTGATGGTCCAGTGCAAGTGAACTCTTGTACTATGGCAACAATCATGTTATATTGGGGTGCTTGTGTGGGGAGCTGCAAGTCTCCACAAAGTAAAGTGGCTTATTAAAAGGTGTGCTCTAAGGAGCAGTCCAAATCATGGTCTGCCAAGAGCAGTCATTACTTTCATCAAAATCTATTAGAGATAATTACACAGCCATGTATCAAAATGTGGAACTCCTGTGTAATTTACAGAAGTGTCTGTAAACCATCCATGGCACTTACTGCCAGTCTTAGTCACACAAATGCTGGATTTCTTTTTGCTCACTTACCTCAAATCCTGAGACATGCTTCGTATTTTCCTTGTGGCAGGTGCTGCAAAGAGTCTCTCTTAGGTGGCACCAATCAGATAATATATACTAGGGTTGTATCAACTTGCTTTAACTCTCTTGACCACAAGATGCAGTTTTCATCTCTCACTTTGTTAAGCAGGGAGAACCAGACAGAAAAAAGCTGCTCCTATTTTTCTGTAGGGGGAGCACGAGTACATAATATTTGCTTCACAAAGCTTTATTATGAGTTGTTCCTTTCCAAAATGACTGTGCACCAACATACCTGCACACCTAGTAACTGTGTGTGCATGTGTAGCTGTGGTGGCAAAAAAAAAAAAAGGTTGGTCCCTTAGGTAATTAGGATTGAACCCCAAATGGGTGGGAAGTGGAAACATTGATTGTATGTGTAAATTGCAGCAGTTTAGAAATTTGGCTTAACTTCTTCATGCACAAACAACATTTGACTGTTCTACCTCTGATGGTCTGGAGTTCATGGAAGAGAGTACAGCTCTATGTGGCAGCCATTTGCTCCAGTTCTCCACAGGAACAGGCTTCTTGCTGTCAGCTGTAGTTTTGGCTCATTTCAGATTAATTCTATTCAGCTTTGAATTTGTCATAGGAAAAGGGAAAGCCCAGATGTTCCTTTCCTTGGGGAATCTTGTGCTTCCCCTGCAAAGCATGTTGGACAGTCTGCTAGCTGTTAGTTAAAGCAGCCCTGAGGTCATGCAGACAGGGAGTCTGAGCCTGTAGATGCCATTTCCATGCTGCCTTGGCTCACAGAGGGGACAGTTTCTTGTCCAGACAAGGAACCATGTGGAGAGCAACTAGGGTTTTCCTGTGCTGCAGGAGGGTTTCTTACCATACCGTAACTGGCAGCAGAAGTGATAGGACAAGGGGAATGGTATAAATTAGTAGAGGGTAGATTTAGGAAGGCACTGAAACAGGCTGTCTAGGGATGTTGTTGATGCCCCATCCTTGGAGGTGTTCAAGGCCAGGCTGGATGAGGCTTGTGCAGCCTGGTCTGGTAGGAGGTGTCCCTGCCCATGGCAGGGAGGTTGGAACCTGATGATCTTTAAGGTCCCTTCCACCATTAACCACTGTGATTCTTTTTATATCTGTGTTGTGGGAACTGTTGTTCTTTCTTCCATTAGTAAACTCAAAATTGGGTTTAGAAGGAGGATGTGTTGGCCTGTGTCAGGGAATGTCTGTGAGCTTCTGGTGTCCACAACACTGTATTATCCCCTCTCTCAGGGGGTTGGTAGGACCTTCTTCTTTACCTGGCTACCATTGCCCAGTAGTTCCTGAGCAGAAACAATGTGTTCCTTCACTCTGGTGAGCTAATCCCCATATTAAATGGACACTTTCATATTAAAAGCTGTCCAAATGTTACCTGGGCTAAGTTGGTGTATGTACCTTGACTTCAGTAGCTCTGCCTTGGTCCTTCTCAGAGTACAAAGCCAGCTCTCCTTCAGTGGCTGTGAGCTCCTGTCCATGCACTCCAAAGCTAATAAGCCATGCTTGTTTACACTAGCTGAAAACCTAGCTGAAGTGATCTTACTGATCTTGCAAACAGCACCTGTGGATAACTGAAACTGCATCTCTTCTTTTCACCATTCATGCTGTTCTGCTGTTGGCATTTCAGTTCTGACTGTGAAAACATCCTGGTTTGAGTTCACTTGGGCTGAGCCTGGTTGGTGACCCTCCAAAAATAACAGCAGTCTGCTGTTTACCTGGAGCATTGCGTTTACAGAACTGAAATGGTTTTGAAAACTGGGTTTTGTTTTTCCTACTGAGTTTTAAATAATAATAATAAAAAATAATAAAAATTAGTAATTGTAGCTCCTGTAGAGACCTGAGCTAGCTTTGAGCAGGGTGTGCTGGCTTTCCTGTGGAGAGAGTAATTCCTACTTGCCTCTCCCTGTGAAGCTGAAACAAGAAGTTCTGGGAGTCAGAACTTAGGATGATCATCTGATCTGTCACTCCTGTGTCAATTCCCTGAAATAAGGCTGTATTTTTCAGTCTTGCTCACTGCATGGGCACTAATGCATCTTTTCTCTGTGGTGCCAGCTACAGAACTTGTAAGAACTATAAAACTATGAGGCTTGTCCAGTGCCCTTTAATGTAACTGAAATTGGCTATTTTCAAACTAACGGGAAGGAGGAGGTTTATGGACAGTGGGATCATGTAACCTTGTTTTCTTAGGAAACTTGGCTGAAATCTGGTTTAAAGTAGAAGAATAACATGATATTGGTAAAAAAATAGTTTTTTCACTAACACTTGGTGCTGATTAGACAGTTTTTGTACTGAGGGAGTGTCACTGCCTTTGGTATATCCAGGTCTGGAGAAGACAACACTCCTGGAGCC